TTTTTTTTTCGCGCCTAGTTAGCTATGATCCGGAGGGAACTCCATTATATAAGCATTGGGAGGATAATGAGATAATATTCCATTATGCTGTCAAGATTTGTGTGGAGGCAATACAAAGGGCTTGGTTTTTGACTCTCAACGCGAGAATACAGTCGACATTTCGCGACACCACCTGTGGGTTTCCCGCCAAATGACGTCCGAGTAAGCGCAGAAATTCAATACTGATGAACTGTCACTACCAGATCTTGATGAGCAGATCTTGATAGTGCTCCTGATTGGTTCCTAAAGAAGATCTGGGTAGTGACACGTCATCAGTATGGAATTTTTGCGCTTGTTACTCACAAGTCTTTTCGCGGGAAATTCACATGTGGCGTCGTTAAATGTCGGCTATTTTCTCAGGTGTACATTTCGTCAAGTCTGAAATAGGTTAGTAAATTACATATTTTGGCCTGCAATGTCTGAAATAGGGTCAAAGTTTCAAGAAGATTTTTAACAGTACTCCCTAAGTCGCAGACAACATCTTGTTGTTAGTCCTGGTTTTTAAAGTCTACTGGAGTACCGCTTATGCTGTCAAGAAAATAACGTTTGGGCGAATTAAAACCTTTGGGTTTTCATAATTTTTGTGTCTTGCACATATTGCCTTAGGTTTTCTCACCACGTTAAATCGCTAACGCTAACGCTTCTTTCGTGCTCGATCGCGGACGTAAATTTAGTTTTGTATGATAATTTATTGAAGTTTCTGACGCAGCAAACATCGAAATAATGTGATGACATGATATTTACTACAGTTCCGCTAAAACCCAGGTTGAACAGATATACCGTAAATAATCGAATTAGCCCCCCTCCCTCTCCCCCTTGAGGTTAGAAATAAGAAACAGTTATGAAATACACACCGCCTTCAAATAAGCGCCGTAAGCCTACCCCAAGTAAGAAAAACAGCTGAAACGCCTCGACCACTGATTCAATAATTTACGCGTAAACTGTCGACTGTCAAGGCTAGGCTGCGGCGGCCGATCTTCAACACAGTGGGAAGCTGTCCAGACAGCACAGACATGGTCGCGTCACAGTATGGCCAAAATATATAACACGTGTTTTAAAGGGAACAGTGGTGTGATGTCGCACGAGACTGTAGGGTCCTGGTTACCTATCGTGGAGGGAGGGGGGCGGGGTTGGGGGAGGCGGAAGGACTCCTATCTGAAAGTGACGGGTAATTTGTCGTCTCGCTTAGGGGTGGAAAATCTCACTTTGAGTGTTCAGGATGAAGTGCTAATTACTTTACCCTATCTTTAAAAAAGATTTCCATTTGCACATGTCCCACTAAATTCACCTTGACTGCCTTCCAGAGTTTTGGGCATTGTATTTGACCTAGGAGAAGACAATGCTTATGCAAATTTTTGGGGACAAACAAGGTGCATTATGGGAGCTGTGATAGCAACCAATTTTCTGGTCTGCTAGCAAGCTCTCCGGGGCGCTTTGGCGGCGGGGCGAAGCTTGCTAACTGTATACGTACCAATTTTTCAACTGGTATCTTCCAAACGTTTCAGACGGAGGTCTTAAAGGTTTTTTGGTCAAATGTTTTCTGGTTAAACAAGCCTGTTCCACTGAGCAAATAAATAAATAAAAAAACAAAACAAAACAAGATCTCCACTCATTTCCCACTGTACATTCAGAAAAAGTTTGTCTGTTGGACTGTCTGGGGGGGAGCAACCCCTTTGGTTTTAACTTATTTTTACCCTAATAAGCCATTAGAAGTTCACTAGACGAGAAGGAAGACAGCCGTATCCAATCTGATGTGGAGGAACTGATCGCTAAGTCTAACCAAAACAAGTTCCAGCTAAACGAGTAGAAGTGTAAGGAACTACGAATTTCGTTCGCTAAATAAGCCTCGGACTTTGCTCCCATTGTTATCAACGGGAAAGCAATAGAGGTAGTGTCCACTGTTAAGTTGTTAGGTCTAAATATATCATCTGACCTCCGGTGGAACTGTCATGTTGCTGAAATAAGTAAAAAAGTAGCGAGTCGATTATATTTTCTTAAACAACTGAAGAGAGCGAATATTCCCGCCAAGGATCTGTTAATCTTTTACTTGACCTGTATCCGCCCAGTAAGGGAATACGCATGCCCGGTGTTTCACAACGCGCTTCCCGCATNACTGTTAAGTTGTTAGGTCTAAATATATCATCTGACCTCCGGTGGAACTGTCATGTTGCTGAAATAAGTAAAAAAGTAGCGAGTCGATTATATTTTCTTAAACAACTGAAGAGAGCGAATATTCCCGCCAAGGATCTGTTAATCTTTTACTTGACCTGTATCCGCCCAGTAAGGGAATACGCATGCCCGGTGTTTCACAACGCGCTTCCCGCATATTTATCCGCAGAGCTAGAACAGCTACAGAAGCGCGCCATGCGAATTATTTTTCCGTTTGTACCATATAGCGACGCATTACATGAAGCCAACTTGGAGACGCTCTCTCGACGCAGGCGGTCTATCACAACTAAGCTTTTTGATTCCATCACTTGTAACTCAGACCATAAACTGCATGAGCTCTTGCCACCTCGTAACAATTGTGAATCCAATTTAAGACGAAAGAGGAATTTTAATGTCCTTCTGGCTAAGACGAAGAGACTTAAGAACACATTTATATATAGCAACTGTAATTAAATTTTTAGCTACATATGTGTACATTTTTCTTATATTTTTTTCTCATATTTTTATTATTTTTATTATTTATTATTTTATTAGTATTATTATTGTAACGATTAATCTAATTCAGCTTTTGGCTGCGATTTTAATCAGAATAAACTATCTATTTATCTATCTAGACGATTAGCACCTTGGATATTAAGGCAGCCGACTATGGCACCCTGGCAGCTCACACACTGTCTCTCAAGAAATAATCACTAATTCATAACTTTGCAGTCTATTAATTTTTTTTCTTTCTTACCTGATTTTTGATTGATTTTTGATTGTATGATGGACGTAAAAATGGCAAGGTCCGTGAACGCGAATAATCTGGTACATATAAAAGGAGAAATAATAAAAATAAAATTAATAATAATAATAATAGTAGTAGTAGTAATATTAATTATGAAGACTTTGAAATTAGCCCAAGTGGCACCAAATGTAATTGAACAAGTTAAGAAGTTTGTAATTTAACAGTGTTATCATTCCTACCAACCAACGTCTTTGGAAAATGAACTTAAAAACTTCCCCTCAATGCGAGATGATGATGATGATGATGATGATGATGATGATGATAAACTTTATTTCAGTGTCAGGTCTTCTAGCTGGCCATGTAAGGCCTACTGATAGGGGACACTAAATTAAAATACTATCAGCTCTAACTAATTAACAAAAAAAAAACTTACAAAGAATAAAATTTCCAAAAATATACATCCTAAAAAAAATGTCGATAAAACGCATTCGGATTTGTCACATAAAATAATACTTATTGATTAAGAGGTGCACTTTTTGTCTAGAAAATGTCATTTATGTACAACATAGAAAGCAGCTTTTACAGCCCTCTGTGATTACTTGTTCAAGATCTACCTTACGAATTTTCTTTTTAAAGCTGTAAATTGATTCTGCGTTTTTTACATCCTTGTTTAGTTTAGACGATATTACTGGGCCCATGTATCTCAGGCTATGTCTCCCGTAAGTTGTTGTGTTGTATCAAGGAATAAAAAAGTCACCAGAATTTCTGAGCCCATAGCGAGGTTTATCTAGAGAACTGTTACTTTCCAACTTAAAAACTACAAACCATAAGTTTTATGAATGCCCTGCCATGAAAAACTTATGGAATGATGTCTTAAACCGGTGGAACTTCAAACGTTCTGAAAACATAACACCACGTGCTACGGAAATTCTTTATGGCCAACCTAAATGAACATGCTTTCACGCTTTCAACCATTATCTTCTAATTGCACGATTATACACAGTATAAGTCTTCAGCCGGGAAATAGGAATGAAATTTGGTTTAAAGACTGAAGTGCAGGGTAACAGTAGAGAAGAGGGGGAAGCTGAATAAGAGACAGAGGGTATTCTGCAACTTGTGAATGATGAGACAATGAAGGAGGTGGGTGAAGAGGGGTACAAGTACCTGAGGATAATGGAACTAGATAGAGTGAAGGAGCAGGAAATGAAGAAGTATTCTTAGGAATGAGTACATGCGAAGATTGAAGCTAGTGATGAAGTCAAAATTGAATGGCGGAAGCAAACATATGGGCTGTAGCCTTATTGCGATATAGAGGAGTGATTAGATGGACAAAGAATGAACTCCAAAACATGGACAGGATGACTAGGAATGTGATGACAATGAATAAGGACTTTAAGATTCAACGACGCGACGGCAATGAGAACGTCGCTTAAAAAGTGAATTTGCCTTCTTTCAGTCTTAATCGCAATTATTCCTACCCACTTACTTTGTCAAATGTAGGCGAGCCCTCCGGGAATTGAATTATTTGGGACCATATCCAAGTACAGAAAGAGAAATAAAATTTGGTCTTTGCTTGTTTACGTCCTCCATAAAACGCGAAATTAGTGCAGGCATTTTCACGTCGTAGTCGTGCAAAAACGGGCAAAGAAATGTACAAAAACGCGTGATACACGTGCAAAGTTAAGGTTTTGCTTATAGAATCTATTGTTTTTTTTTGCGTTTTCGTTGCCGTCCGCGTCGTTGGATCTTAAAGTCCCTAATAAGGAGCTGCACCGCAGAAGTGATACTGCAAGACAATTTGTATCAGGGAAGAAGGGGGGGAAGACTCAGGAAGAGGAGTCATTAGCTGTGAAGCTTGTGTCTGTGGGGAAGAAAACAGTTTAAGTTGGTATGTAAGGAATTCCGAGGAGGTGTTGCTCGGGAAAGTAGGTGAAAAAGGAACAGTGAAAGTGGATGAGGCAAAGAATCCAAAGGAGAATCAGAAGAGTGAAAAGCGAGAAATGGAAAACAAATGGAAAGAAAAACAAATGCAGGGGTAATATATCAGGGACATGGCGGGCAGGGA